GTCTGATCTGGAGATTCCGGATTGTCCCTGACTTCCGGTCTGTATAGGGCGTCAGTATTAGTACGCTTTTTCCTTTTTCTGTGTCTGATCTTGACATTGTATTTCCGTGACTCTGATGCCCAACGTGCCAATTTCGCACTATTTGGAAAAGGGGGATCCCTAGATCGGTAAAATAGGCGAATTTCCTCCTACAACTTCGGTTGTTGTTTGGGATACAGTTAATGTTTTAACAAAGTTTGAGCGAATACATAATTAGCAAAAAATAGTTGAAATAAAGTGATTAAACAAAAATTATTATAAATATTGTAAATAACAGTTCACAAATGCATATATAGAGATATTTTTTGGAGGGGGGAAATGATCTTCACAATTTGAAATCGATCGAACTCACGATGAAATGCTCGTATACACTTGCGCCATCTATCATAGGATAAATGTACTATGCCAGAAACCTTCGCGAGAGTGTATTAAAAAACTTCCCAAAGTTTCATGGCAATCAAATAAACGGTGTGGTAATGCATGAAGGACATATAGATTATACATTCATTTTTATATATATATAGAGTATATATAGATAAATATACCATTTTGATAAACTAGAAATTTTATTTTTTATGTACAAATAAATATCTTTTAATTTCCACACTATCTCAAAAGAAATTTTATTTGGATTATTTAATTTGAATTGAACAAACAATACTTAACTTACCCTTGCAATTAATATCAAGAGTTGTACAGCCTTTCTCTGCATTCGTTAATTCTTTAATCAATGTCAAATTACCACTGCGAGCACCTTGCAAAAGCATTTCTTCGGGAGAACTTTGGCCCGATAATGGTTTGGAACTTTCATTTTCAGACATTCTTCCCAAAACTATCAATTAATAAAAGTAAAATACAATTGGTAAAAATAACTTTAAATAATCTTATTTTTAAAATTACTATTATACATAACATGCTTTACTGGTTTTAAAACACATTAATAATTCATCTTAAATATTTAAAAAATTAAAAATTTGATATTTAAAATCTTTTCCAATAAAACTGTTTCGACAGAGAAAAACCAACAAAATCAAAATTTGAAAAATTTTAGCTATCTCAAACTTTAATGTTCAGATTATAAAAACAATATGTAGATAACATTTTGATAATTTGGACAGAAGTCAAGCTAAAACCCCAATACATTTCCTGACAGACAAAGCTTTCAGATTAAAGCTTAAATTGAGACAATTTAGCCATGATATAGGTCATTTCCTTCATACATTGATATTTAAAGCCAATACTGGATATAGAACTACAGTACATAAAAAAAAAGGTCTTCCTTCTACTCAACATAAATTTCCTAGAATTTTATAGATCCTATAAACTACAAAAAAGCCATCTTAACATTTATGATAGCCAGAGCTCTCAATGTACATATAAATTGGGAGTCTTTGGAAAAAGAATGGGAGATGATTCATCTTATTGTTTGGTCCTATGGTATACCAGAGAACATACTACTTTGGACTCTCAAAAACAAATCTGATGTTAAATTATCATCTAATAGAAGACTTAAAGAAAGGTAATATAAAGAATTTCCTCCATAATTTCTTAAGGATTTTGCCAACTAAAGCATTCCATGACTTACCAGAAATATCAATGACCATCTTGAATATAAAAGTAATCTCATTACTTTTAACATCTAAATGAACAAGAAGATCAAACCATTAAGTAGAAATAGGGTTTACAAGATTCTAATTCAAAGTGAGACAGATCCAAATATGAATATACAAGGGTTTTTTTTCAACCTGCACTAATGCATGAAAAAAAAATCGAAAGCATGTGAGACAGGGACAAGGTACGCACCTAGTGAGTAGTATATTCCCTCACCACTTAGCATTGTGCCAAGCTATTTTAGACATTTGCTACTCTGCAGTAAACATGTAAACATGATGCCCCCAATCCAGTCTCCCTCCAACTGTGAAGTACGAGCAGTAATTCGATTTCTACAGGCCGAAGGGCTGAATGGAGATGAAATTCAGGAAGGATGTGCATGTATATGATGAGAACCTCACGAGCTACGGATGTGTGCGTGAATGGTGCAGGAGATTCAAACAAGGATGTGACAATATTCATGATAAAGGCAGTCAAGAAAGGAAGTGTGTGATGATAGACAATTTGGTGGACAAAGTGGATCAACTGATGCGAGAAAGGCATTGGTTCATGATTTCTGAGGTCAGTGAGGAGTTTCCTCAAATTTCAAGGTCCACACTGTACTGTATACCGCTGACTGACAGTGTTAAACGTTGACTAAATGGCCTGGTGACAACATTCTTCAACATGGGATATACAAAAGCTGTCACATTATGATGTCTGCCTGAATTGACAAGGCAATTATGTGGAAAAATAGGTGAAGACTGTAACTACCTTCTACAAATAAAGTGGTTTTGTTTTTCATTCTTGTTTTTTATTCTGGGTCGGTGGAGGTTCCAAAAAAACCCTCGTACAAGAGTTAAACCACAGTGTGTGAAACAAACATTGTTATAGAAATACATGATCAAGTAAAAAACTTTCCTAGCACAAAGCATTCTTGATAGAAACCTCATTGTCTCAGAAAAAGAGATATTGGAAGTCAGGAGAAGGACCATTGAACTGTGGAAGAAATATGGATTTGTCAAAGAAAGGATTCACACAAACCTTATGGAAAATGAATCCTGGTGAACTTTGACTGAATCTTTGATATTATGTAATTCTAATGGTTCCGATCAAAGTTTCCATAAACAAGAAGTCAAAAAATAGACAGTTTTTGACTTTGTGCCCATGGAAATTTTTGATCAGGGATACTAGAACTACTGTAGGGTCCCACAAACTTGACTTAAGGTGAACTGAGAATGTGAAGAGTTACCAAAAATAATGATTTTTATGCCACGATGATGATGATAGTCTAAATCAGTGTTCCGTAACCTTTTTCTGCTTGCGACACACCTATGACTCGACATGACTCAACACGGCACACCAAAATGTTATTCCCCTCAAAAACATATGTTATGATACTATTAATAGAATTTCTTAATGCCATAAACCTATTATTATTATGTTGAGTTTTGTGAGTTGCACTCGGTTGACACCGATGGCTGTGTACTATGCCAGACCAGAGTCAAGACATAGTAACTTCAAAACAAGACAAAAATTAAATAAGTGTGTCAGTGTGTGTTCAGGAATTCAGGAATTTCTTAACAACATGACAGGTATTCAAAACAGTTGCCTTCTGTAGTGTGATGTATGTTTCTATTCAATTTTAATATTTCCAGGCTTTTCTGTAGCGTGTGGTATGAAACCTGTAGAGGAAAGAATGACAGGTACAATAAGCACCCTATCCATCCTTCATAGATGCCTTATTTCCTGGGCGAGTTCTGTGTACTTGCTAATTTTTTCAGTGCATGTGTTTTGTACATTGTGAATGTTTGGAACAGATATGTCTATAATGTGTGTGATTTTATTATGTTTGTCAATGAGTGTGATGTCTGGTCTGTTGTGGTAAATTGTTTTATCTGTGATTATGGCTGTTGTAGTAAATTTTGTCCGTGTTGTTTTCCAATACTGTCTGTTGAACGTATTTGTAGTATGGTTTGTGGATGTCTAATAATTTGTTTCTTTGCAAGCTCTTAATGTATTTGCTACTTAATTTGCTACTTTGTATTTTCTACTTAATTTGCTACTTTGTCTTAATGTATTTGCTACTTTGCTGTCTTATGTAAATTATCTGTCTGTGCCAAGAGCTTGCATCCAGAAGTGATGTGTTGTATGGTTTCTGGCATGATGTGACATTTTCTGCATGTGTCGTTTGTGATTGTTATATCTTTGAGCATGTGTTTTCTGTAGTTTTTAATATTTATGATCCTTCTGTCTTCCCAGAGAGGCATCCCCGAGCTAACCAGCTCTTTGACGCAGTTTTGTCAACAAAATCCTGGGCCAGGTCATAGGGATGTCTGCCATGGAGTGCCTTTCGTACCCATGATTGCTTAGCGATGTCTATGCTATTTATAAGTTGCCATGCCTGTCCATACATTGTGAATGTAAATTTAAGGATTTATTATTTTAGTTTGCTAGAGTTTCTACTTAATGTAACTGTGACATTTCTTGTTTTTTGTAGAAAAATCCTCACAATATCTATTTGTTTGTAGTGTAGGTTAACTATGTCGATCAGGCCATGTCCGCCATCTTTACGTGGAAGGGTTAATTTTTCTATGGCAGATTTAGGATGATGTTGTTTATGCTTAGTAAGTGTTGTCCTTGTTTTCATTTGGAGATGCTCAAGATCTGTGTGAGTCCAATGTATAATTCCTAAAAAATAAGTGAGTAGTGGGATGACATATGTGTTTATTGCTTTAACATCATTTTATTTCATCAGTGAATGAAATACAAGCATAAGAAACACAACGACTGTGATAAAAATATATAAATAAAACTTGAAATCAATAGAATATATAAAAGTTCACGTCACACCTTTCACCTTATGACGGCACACCGATTACGGAACACTGGTCTAAATAACAGAATTTTTGTAAACGTATTATATGTGCAAAGTCATATACATATTAACTACATACTAATAACTATTTCTATTTGTAGTTAATTTTAATTTTTAAAATATTGGCTATTTAGTGGCTACTTCTGAGCTAGTGACATTTGTGTCACCTTGAAAAAAAAGGCTTATATTGTCAACATATAAAAGTGATGCTATTATCAAGTGTCACCAGTGAATAATGATAACTTATTTAATTCTAGTATTAATAATAACAAACAACTGCACATTGGAGTTAACTATACAAACAACAAGTCCTTTTTTTTCCTATGCACATCCTTTTTAATTCCAATCCAGGAACCACAAAGAGCAGGTGACGTAAAGTAAAACTTCCAAAACAGACAAATACTATTAAAAAACTTACGATTAAAAATGATCTCAACGTTGTGGTTCCTGGATTGGAATTAAAAAGGATGTGCATAGGAAAAAAAGGACTCGTTGTTTGTATAGTCTTAAATTTTCAAATTAACTATATAACTCCTGGACTAAAGTGTACAAGAATGTCAAATTATTGAGAGTTGGGTTTCCAGGAACCTACTGTATAAAATATCAAACATTATGGAAAATTTTTGATATATGTGAATGTCTGTATGTATATATTTATAAACAAGAACCATATGCAATACTCATTAGTTTAATAAGTGTTTATACAGTGTAAGCTGTATTTTTTTTATATTGCTTTCCTTCATAAGTTTGCATTAATAAACAAATAAACTAAACCTTGATAAATCTAGCTACAAATTCATTGAAATAAAAACATTTTCAATCAGATTTTACTTTCAGATTTTTCAGTTACAAACTTTTTGAATTCTTTAGAATGTATAATTACAGATTCAAAATAATAAAGTTGCAAATACGAAAATTTTAAGAATTAATAATTAAAATGTAATAATTAATAAACACAGAAAATTAAACTTTGTAAAATGAATTAAATTAATAAATATCAAACATTTTAAAATTTGTAAGATGTAATTCTTAATAAAATGTTTATAAATTATATTTCGTAAATTGCCCACCAGGCATTTAATAGGTTTTCAAACACAGACTGCCAACCAGCACCCAACAAGTTTTTAGAATCTGTCTGGTGAAGGTTATAAGATTTGCTTCCACTCCATTAGTAGGTCTTCTACATATGAGTAATTTGATGGTCCACTCACCAAAAGCACCTCAAATTTTCACATTTGCTAAGACCCATAAACCAGGAAACCAAATTCATCTAGTAATTGAAAAATGCAGTTCTCCAACATTTTTAATTGAAAAACAACTTGTGAAATTTTACCAAGCTAAAGTTGCTTACCATCCTTTTTTCA